CCGGGTGGACGGGGGTCCGGGTCCCGGGTGGACGGGGGTCCGGGTCCGGGTGGACGGGGGTAGGGTCCCGGGTGGACGCGCGGGGGGGGCCGGGCAGGTGGCCGAGGTCTCCGGCCTGCGTGTCCGGAGTGGGCTGACCCTGCTGTCCGGATTCTCATTCCTCGGCTCCCCCAGGGCGACCTGGGGCCGTTCAACCCCGGGCTCCCGGTGCAGGTGCCCGTGTGGCTGGCGGTCAACCTGAAGCAGAGACAGAAGTGCCGCCTGATGCCCCCGGAGTGGATGGACGTGGGTGAGGCCGGGCCCGCGGCGGGGGTCCCTGCGGGGCGGGTCGAGGACCCCCTTGGGGTGGTGACTGGCTCTGCTCTGCGTGTGCTCGACCTGCAGTGGAGTGAGGTGCTTGCTTTGTTAGATCAGCTTGTTTTAAATATTTCTGTGACCTTAAAAAAACCCCCTGTTTCTTTGGCATAAAAAACTGCACTGCCAGCCTGAAGGCGGGTGGTTGGAATCCCCAGCTGCCCTGCACCACAAAGGTGCGCTGTCTCCTGTGCAGTTTACAGCCTCTGAAAAGCCGCTGGAGGTCCAGCCAGGCTTCACCTGCCACTTGTTGACCATGAGTTCACCTGACTTTGTTTTTATTTTGGTGTTGAGAATATATATGAGGACATATAAGTGTGTGTATATATAGATTTGTTTTTTAAAGATAATTTTTATTTATTCTTTTTATGTGTGTACAGTCAGATTGGATCTGACTGGTACAGGAGGCCATTGTTCCTCCTTCTTCAGAGCATCTGGTGGATTTGAACCGTGTACCTCTGGGATTGCAGTGCAGTTTCCTACCACTAGGCCTCCAGAGCTCGCCTGTGTGTGTGTGTGTGTGTGTGTGTGTGTATGTATGTATGTATTTATTTATTAATTAGTTTAGTTTAGTTTTCTTGGTTCCACAACCAACATTCTTGGTAGCAGCAGGCAGGAAATCAAGAGGTGAATTGCATTGGGAAAGTCCGCTGTCAGGTACCTCTCCAGAGTCCTGAAGAGCAGAAACATGAGGCTGGAGGCTAAGGTGGGCCTGATCCGGGCTATAGTCTTTGTAGTTGTGTGCTGTACATCGGAGAGCTGGACAGTGACCAGGGATGATAGAATTGATGCCTTTGAGCTGTGGTGCTGGAGAAGAGTGATGAGTATACCGTGGATTGCTAGGAGAACAAACAGATTTGTCCTGGAGAAGGTGAAGCCAGACTGCTCCTTGGAGGCAAGGATTCTGAAGCTTCGTCTGACATAGTTTGGGTATGTTGTAAGGAGGGATCAGTCCTTGGAGAGGGACGTCCTGTTTGGGAGAGTGGACAGAAGGTGCAGGAGAAGACCCTTGATGAGATGGATTGATTCAGTGATTGGGGTGGTGGGAATGAGTGTGTTAGAGACAATGAGGTTGGCACAGGATAGAGCAGAGTTTAGGGCCCTTGTACATAGGATCACTATGTGTCACAAGTGACTTGACAGCACATAACAATATATTTGTCAGTTCAACAGCTGTGGAGAACTCGGTGATCTACACTCTTGCACTTGTGCACCTGGTTTCTGCCGCCTCTGAGTTGTCCTCATGAACACAACCACACTAACCCTCTAAGTTTCCTGCCTAATCTTTGACACCCTCCTATGCATGCATGCAATAATTTCTATTTGTGTGTTAATAAATGAGTAGGTTTTTTGTTTGTTCCCGTCAAGTTAATTCTGATTGACTGTAACTCCCAAGTGGGCAGGGTAGAAGTGCTCCATAGTCCACACCTGTGAACTTGGTGAGGCAGGAAACCGTGCCTGCTGGGAGGTCGCAGTCACCTGTTAACAATCAAGTCCTGAGCTATTTGGACTACATATGGACACCTGGAAGTACAGACTAGCATACCCAGGAGCAGACTCATCCTTACTTTCTACAGAATGGATGGAAGTCACACGGATAATGAAATATCATTTGGCCGAAAAAAAGAAATGAAAATCTGATGTGTGCTCCAACATGCGTGAAACTGGAAAATGTGTAAAAAAAGCCAGGCATAAAAGGCCACATAGTGAATGTCCAGAACAGGTAGATCCATGAAGACAGGTAAGTGGTGACCTGGAGCTGGAGGAGAGAGGAATTGGGGATAAAGTCATGGCTAACAGGAATAGGTGTTTGTGATGATGAAATTTTTTTTTTAAAATAATTTCAATGAAAATTTACAGAGACTTTGGATTTCCATTCATTCATTGTTGCACTTTTCTCCCCTCCCAACCCTCTTAGAAAAGTAAAAGAAAAATTCTTTCATTGTTTTACAAACCCTCCCCCAGGTCCACTCCACTATGCATCCTTTGCTCTGGACTCCTGTCATGACAAAAATACCTAATCACATATACCTTTTAAACAATTTTCTGCCTCATCTTTTTCAATGCAGTATACATTATTGAAACCATCTTTCTCAGTCTTCCTTCAACCCTGAGGTCAGTCCTGTTTCACAATGGCTTCATGCAGTATTTGTCTTTTGTGATTGAGATACTTAGCATAATGTCCTCCAGAGTTACCCATTTTGTGTAATATTGCATGAATTCCTTGTTTTTCAATGCAGCATAATATTCCATTGTGTGAATAT